TTAACCCCCCAGCACTAAACCCACTGTTAATCTCTAAACATCTGATTGGAGCTTTTCACCTCTGATACATTTGATTAAAAGTTAAAAAGCATATCTCGGTGCTATACATTGATTTATTAAGTCTCATTATCTTATTCTACCAGGGGGAATACTGCAGAAAATGATAGACAGGCTTTATTAGGGGCGATATTCTCGTGAGCTTTGTGGTGATTGATTTGGGATTTTGGTGTTAATGCACAGAGAACAAGCCAGTAGCACAATACAAAGACTCTGTTGGTTATTTGGGTATAAGAACGCTATCTATCTATTATCACTTACAAGTTTTATGATCTTACTATCACCAATCGAATGAAGAGAAGACGGAGGAAAACAAAGACAAGAGGAGGAAGAGGGTGTTTGACAGATCTAAGTGGCACCCTTCACCGTGTCATCGCGTATGCTTACGTCCAAGGTTCTTGAGAGGACCTTCAGCTTGTCACACTTAATCTTCGCCTACACACGATGAAGCTGCACAGACTCCTTTTCCAGTAAGAAACAGGATTTTGCAGTTTATACATGTCATTATTTAAAGATAGCTGATTATCACAGAGAGGCTGTGCTTGTAACTCACCTCTCCCACTTTTACAGATTGAACACGGATCAAACTAGAATATTAAAATACAGTTTTAAATGACAGATGGGGCGAAGTGTTAATTCTGCAGCGTCCATGCAAGGCTGGACTTCACTGAAGCAAATTAGTGCAGGTTGAGGCTGTGTTTTGGTTTTATTTTCCATATTGGAGGATATGAGGGGACTCTTTTCCAGGGATGCAGATTTTAAGTTTTCTTCATGATTGATTTAAATTTAATCAATCCGGTTTGTGATCTTAAATCATAAGAACTTTCTGGATACGGTGTCATATGTTCTGTAAATTTATTTTTTTCCTGGTTTGGTTTATTAAGCACATTTTCAGTATATTTTCACGAGTTTTTCTGTTCCCTATTGTTCCTGTGATCCAGTCTTATGAGTTTTCAGTTTGTCTTTGACCCTGTTACCCTCCTCTTCTCTGTGTTTTATTCTTTATATCAGTTTTCAGTGTTTCCTATTTTATTTTGTAATAGTTGATTCCTCATGTTTATTAACAAGGAGCCTACACAATATGGACGATGAATTTCACCATTTTTATAACAACGTACAATTTCAACACTGAAATATTCACATTCATTCAAGCCTTTTATAACTACAATTTACCTGGAGTAGGGACCTTTAATTGTAAAACTGGGCGCCATTCTCTTGACTTTCTGCTTCAGTCGTGGGAAACACTCCATTCAGGAGAAAAAAAAGCCTGTGGCTGGTGATAAACTGAAGCATCCTTTCTGACTATAGCGAGCTTGCTGATGCTGAAGCTGTCGAACAAGTGTCGAAGCTGTCGCAAACCGCGAGGGGCAAGGAATTGCTAAGCTGTCGCAAAGATGGCAAGTAGAAGAATTGGCAAACATTTCGCACATGCGCAGTACAAATCGGGTTTCTGGGATGGATCAGGCAGCGAAAGTTCACACTCAGCTCAATTTAGCATGTAGCTTAGCATTAGTAATTAGCAATTCTCATTTAGCTTAGCACCAATGTTTCATATGTAGTAAGAGTAAATTTAGTATTTTGTATTAAACGTTGTTTACAGCGCGTTTTGATCTGTGAATTATTTCTCTTTATTACAGTTTTCACTTTGAATTCAACCAGTGATGAATAAACAAGATCAAGATTTTCTGTGTATTTTCCAGAGTGTTTCTGTTCCCTGTTGTTCCTGTGATCAAGTCTTGTGAGTTTTCAGTTTGTGTTTGACCCTGTTTCCCTCCTATTCTCTGTGTTTTATTCTTTAGATCAATTTTCAGTGTTTCATGTTTTATTTTGTAGTGGTTGATTCCTTGTTTCCAGTCTGGTTTTTCTTCCCTAGTTTTCCCTCCTTCGTTAATCACCCATGAGTTTCACCTGTGTCTCGTTTGCCTCACCTGTTGCTCGTTTCCCAGTGTATATAGATGTCAGCGTATGCTTTTGTCTCCTTGTGGTTTTTTCACAGTGCCCTCGTGATTCTTTTGATTCTGCTTCTTTGAATTTGTTTGGACATTTTGAGAACAAATTTTAGTTGGACTTTTCATTTTTTGCTTTTGTTTAAGTAAATCCTAAATTCTGCAAATCTGGGTCCTTTTCCGTTGTTTTGTGTACCATACATGACATATGTAGTAGTTTTGTGTGGCTGTAGATCAAATAGAGACGTTGAAACTGTGGAGCACACCAAATATTAACATACGCAGCAGTGTCAAGAAATGATTCCCATGGAGGAGAAGTCTTATAGGCTCGAACACCTAAATGTAGAAAGGCTGCAAAATATCTAAAAGATAATTCAGATACACAGAGTTCAAGTTTCTTCATGCTTGTTCTTTTTGATAAAACAGGCATGTCCATTTGTGCTTAATGATGCCAGTTGAGAATAGGTGAGGAGTTATGGACAAACACTTAAAAAATATTTTAACTCAAGTTGAAATGAGACACTTAAACATGAAATTTTGACTAAAAATTCGACATGTGGTTAAAAAACTGTTGCTCTCCAGCGTCTAACCCCCTGCATCATCGCTGTCCATCAGTGTAAAACTCATGTTCACAGATATGTGCCTGCTTTGCCTGTCAGGGAAATACTCCTTGCATTGACTTTTCACTCATCTGTTTGCATTGTGTCTAAAGATGTGGTAATGTCCTGGCCTCACATTTAAGTGATGGATATTGAAGAACTAGAGATGCCGTGACATTGAACTTTGATATGAGAGCACCATTTGACCCTGGTGAACTCTGACCCCTGCTCACTTCCTTCTGTAGGTGTCAAACTGATGCTTGACGGCTCTACAGACGGTTTACACATTTTTTTTTTCCTCTTAACACCCTGACACTAGAGAAACAGCAGCTGAAGCTCCAGTAAATGTCACTTTCACTCTAATGTGAAAGGTTAGCAAGGATAGAGAATCACCTCAGGCTCTTTAGCTGATAGCAAACACTCACAAAGATACAAAAGACGACTATAAACTACTTTTACACTGTTAAGACTAGAGGGTGCTTGTTTTTCTCCTGAATGCATACTGAAGCAGAATTCAGGAACAATTTGATGTCTAAAAATTGTGTCGAAGTAGAAGAACATATTTTATCGCCAATAGTGTAAGATAATTTCTAACTTCCTTTTAATGTAGCGAACATAGAATGTATAAAGAATGGACAGCGTCTGCCTCCTCACTGGGTGAAGTCACCGAGAACAGCACCCTCTGGTGACGGGCTGCAGTATAGGTCATAAATCCCGCCTCTGCCAGCAAAGCTTATGGAGCTGTGGACAAACTTTAGAAATTTATTACACAGAATATAATTTTTTTCCCCACTGCTTGCGATGTTGACATGTAGTTACAGTAAGACTGGTTTGTGCTCAAGTCCTCTTTTTTCTGTACAGCTCTGTTTTTAAAAGTTATTAGGGGGTTCATGTTTTCTATGATTGACACCTGATACAGCCTATGGGCGTACAAGGATTGCGTAGCTCTGTTTGAGCCGAGCGTCATCACAGTGACTCTCGGCGACTCTCCCACCAAATGCGTACAACGCTACTGCACAATGGTGGTTTCGCGGAATTACCGAGAGCTATTTGGCTTCAAATCTGTAGACTAGCAGAAGGCGGAACCAAGTTGTCCAAAGTATATACAGTGTATGGTAGCGGAAGTGGCTCGTTTCTGCTAATACCTTGACAACTCCACTTACATCAACAACAGATTTAGCTTTATAGGCACCATTGACATTACCATTGACAGTCATTACCTACAGAGGCCCAAGCCTCAATAGGGCCCTAAGCAAAGTTTGATTTTGGGGCCCTCTATTTCTGCCAATAATATTGATTGTTGATCATTCACACACCTTCACAAATCTCTTTGATTAACATTCCATGACATGCAGACATACCTTTATCTTACAGATAAGCATTATCTGTTATCTTGGATTTGACGAGTGTGTGTTACTTCATATTTTACTGTTTACCGTCTTTTCGGTTGCAGTGAAATAATACTCCTTAGATTCTTGTAGTTTACAACCTGGAAAATGACAGCTGACCTGAAGATGGATGAGTCAAGCTGAGTGTTAAGATAGAGCCTTATAATTAGCTTCACTGTATTTCACAGACTCTCTGATTGTCATGTTTGTCATGATATGTTCTGTAAGTTTAGTTTTTTCCTGGTTTTGTTTATTGAGTGCATGCTCTGTTCCTGTTCCCCCGTTGTCCAGTCTTGTGAGTTTTCAGTTTGTGTTTGACCCTGTTCCCCTCCTGTTCTTTGTTTTTTATTCTTTAGATCAGTTTTCAGTGTTTCCTGTTTTATTTTGTAATAGTTGATTCCTTTTGTTTCTAGTCTGGTTTTACTTCCCTAGTTTTCCCTCCTTTGTTTATCATAAACTCACCCATGAGTTTCACCTGTGTCTCGTCTGCATTACCTGTTGCTCGTTTCCCAGTGTGCATACAGTCCCTGTCTTCCCCTCTGTCCTTCTTGGTTCATTGTATGTGTGTGTATATGTGTGCCAGTTAACCCTGATCCTTGATGTGTGAATCTTTTGTCTCCTAGTGGTTTTTCCCCAGTGCCTTTTGTTGGATTTTGCCTCTAGATTTTTTAGACATTTTGAAGAAAGTTTTTGGTCATTAAGTTTCATTTCAGATCTAAATTGAAACTTCTAAGTTCATAATTAAACAGTAGACTCATTTAACTGTTTAAACTCTCTGTGTGATACCAAAATAGCATCATTCAAACATTCATTATAAGGAAGAGGAGAGCTGCAACTAACACCATTGAGAACTGTAAAGACGGCACAGTGCAGCTCTCTTGCACCACCTGCTGGCAATTCGTCAAAACTACATATTAGATACAAACAAAGAGGAGAAATGCCTGCTGTGATTCACAAGTCTTCAAAGCTGCTCATGCTTTGATTTGATGAAAATAAAAATAACAAATCAGGGGGACTTTTTGGTAAAATTTATTTGCCAAGTGTTGAAGTGATACATATTTCCGGGGATTGTCTTAACAACGTCTTCCAACCTCCCCCAACAACCAGGAGAGTCAATGAAAAGAAATATTACTAACTTTTCACACAAACTGTACAATATGTGAATATACTGTAGCACAAGGGATAAAAATGTTCAGTTTCAGTACCCTTGATTTGATTAGACCCAAGCTTATTCCAACAAGTATCAAAAACAGACAAAAGTACCTCGATTTGTACTAAAATTTGTCTTTGACTCCACACTTTCACGTTTGTTTTTTTTTTGCTTTTTTCTTATGAAAGTATCATCTCTAAATGAAACTAGAGATTTGAACAAATTTACAGTCTTCGTTTGTTGTCGTCGTTTTCTCCAAAAAGACTCTCTCGTGTGCTTCGGTTCTCCAGCCCTGACTCATTAACATTGCCATCAGCTTCAAGAGAAATATATACGTCATGCTTCAAGACATATGAAGGCATTTCATACAATCAAATGTATGGATTAAAACAGTCAGTGAAACCGGAGATTTACAGAATATCGGCAGAAGCGATCACAGGGACTAAGGCGGGTAAAACAGAAAAGGATCGGAAAGACCACTATGTGCAGCAAGACGTGTTGGAGTGGCATGAGTCATCTATAAAAATGGTTTCCATGAGGATTTGTAGTTTTTTTGTTTTTTTTTGTTTTACCCCCAAAGACCTTTCTTTAGCTCAGAAAATGAAGAAACAGTTGAAATGGATGTGGAGAAGAGAGGGTATGAACAGGAGTACAAAAAAAGGAAAGGCCGTTCAATTCAGCCTTCATCTTTTGTGGTTTTATCCTCTAGATCTTCCTCGCCGTCTAAACCGCTGTGAAGACTCTTCTCCTTGGTATTTCTGCTACTCTCCTCCTTCTCCTTCTTCTTTGGCTTTTCTGGTAGCGCTTTCACTGGCGTCAGAAAAAGAAAAACAGGAATTTTTTATAGACTTTAAAAAGTTAGTTTAAAAAAACAGGCTTGTAAAAGAAAAACAGAACAAAACACACAACTCTTCAATAGAAACTCTAATGATTTTAAATCTCACCTGCTGTTGGAACAAATTGGTCTTCAGCCCTGCCGCCATTATCGCTGTGGCTGGTGCTAACGCTTTCTTTCTGCGCCTCTGCGTCTGTGACGATTCTCTGTCTTGCACTCTCGAAAACCGACTTAATAACAATCGAGTCTTCATAGATCTGCGGCAGAAAAGAGAAGCACACATAATGAAAACTCAGAGCAAATGAGACCTCGGCCTTTCAAAGGAGATCTTAATGACACGACAGTTATGAAACACAATTTTGAAGCTGTCAGGTCAGATAATAGATCCCTGAGGGGCTCACCTGAGATCCCTCCAGGTTGTAGGTCTGAGCGTTGTGACACAAGAGGAAAACGTCCTTCTCCAGATCTCCAACACTCCTGTACTTGTGATTACGAACACGTTCCTGTGAAGCAGAGGGGGGAGTATAAAAACCATCAAAGTGACCATTACGAGAAATAGAGGAAAAATAAAAGACAAAGCAGAAATATATATATATATATATATCCCCAAAACACAAACTCAGACACAGTCCCCCCATTACTGAGACTTCCATCATGAAGATTGTTCAACTTTCTCAGACAAATGCTCTAAAGATTTCTTGTCAAGAATTAGACGAGGGAACGTGAGGCTGTAACACACTGAAACTAACACAAGGAGTCCAGCTTAGCACAAAGGCAACCAGGACAAATGTTAGACTCTGTGGATGAGTATAAATCTGACACTGCTTGTGACGTCCCCCAGGGGTCAGTGTTGGGACCAAAACTTTTCAGACAATGCCTTTTGTATCATATTTGATACATAATTTTATATACTTCTATCAAATCAATCTGATTAACAAATTACTAATAAAAACCTGAATACAGTCAGATAAATGATAAAAATGTCCTCTTGTAGTTTATCAGTTTCCAAAAATATCTAACGTACCAAATGAGAAAAATAAAAATATTTGTTCAATTTAAAGGACATTTTTTTGATTTTCAGTAGTAAGTAAAATAAAAAATTTCAGCTCCTAAAAAATCTAATTTTCTGGCCATAATTTGTGGTGTCAGGCATTAAAAGGCTACAAAAAGTACCAGAAATATTGAAGTTGTATTGTTTGCTAATGACACAACGATTTTGGTTTCTGGTAATACAATCACACATAAATAATCATTTAATAATGGAAAAAAAGAGAATCTTGGTGTTTGGGAAGTTTAAAATTAAGGGTCAAGTACAAATACACATACATAGAAAGCGTTTATGAGCACGAATTCCTCGGTGTAACAACAGATGACAAATTTACTGGAAGCCTCGACTAAAACATGTCCGATCTAAATTTTCGAGAAGCATCTCAGTCTTGGTCGAAGCAGAAAACATCCTAGATCACAAATCACTGCACATCCTCTACAGTTCACTAAGTTATGGTAGATTCATAAATGTTTTTAGTGCACATTTACAAACCTTAATTTGGCTTTAGCTCTAATCTAACACAAATTAGTTAAAAACAACAGCACTATCAGAGTGATGTTTCATCAATCAGGAGGGCGACTGTGACAGAGTCATGCTGCAGAGCTGTGATGAGGCTCAGTCTGACAGAGGGGCCGGCTCAGACAATGACATATTCTGATTACTTGAGGGTTTATATGACAGTGACACTTCTGAGGGTGATACAGAAATAACTCTATAATGTGGCTCGCAAATTAACTTTGCTTTGTCCGCGAGAGTGAAACCGCACAGCAGATGATGCAGGAGAGGAGAGAAGAGGAGAGGAGAGGCTAGCGCAGAGTGTAGAGGAAACTACAGGAGACACAAACTAAGAACACTTGTGACAAATGTCACAACAAGGTAGTGTGTGGGAGCTGGAAATGGAAGGTGGAGATTGCTTGTGCTGACCGAGAGCAGCCCGGCGGATCTTCATGTGTCAGTGGAGGTGGTGGCCAGTGTTTGACCCCAAAACAACCACAATAATCCGATAAACAGAGTACATACAGAGCCATACCTGTTCAGTTACAGAGAATTCAATGATAATTTAACAGCATATTAGCTTTTCTAATTAAAACAAAACAGATTTCAGATCAGTTTCAAAACCAGCAATTTTTGTAATACTTTCCTGTGATGACCAGATTGACTTTTTGGGCCTTTTTGCATTTTCTGTGTATCTAAATGGAGTTCTATTATACATTGAAATGAATGTTTCAAAAAGTTATTATGTCCTTAGATTGAAGGGACATTTACCACCAATCTAAGGACATGTCTGTCAGAGTTTTCTTTTTCTTTTTTGAGTTTAAAATCCCGGTTGAGATCTGTGCTGTGAGCGTGTTCAGTGACTCTTACCCTGATCCTCCTGAAGTCCACAGGTTTCCGGATCAGCTCGTAGTACTCTGGTACCTCTTTCTTTGAAGGGAGCTGCACGAAGCCTTTGCTGATCTGTCGACCCAACCTGGAAACACCACGTGACAGTTCACTTAACCTCATTTTGGTAAGACACAAACATAAAAACAACTAAAAACAATAACCCTAACCCAAATTTGCAACAGGTGAGAAACATGAGTGGGTATAAAAGGACATCCAGAGAGGCTGAGTCTTTCAAAGGGAAAGATGGTAAGAGTTCACCACTTTGTAAGAGACTGGGTGAGCAAATCCCTCAGGGTGAGGTTAAGCAAATGTGGGGATTTCATCATCTGCAGTACATAATATCAGAAAGTGTGTACAAAAGGGCCAAGACCAGCAACTAATGTTGCATCGCTGTGAACTGAAGGCTCTAAAGCAGTGCTGCATTCGGGTTAGGGTTACATGTAAGGCTGGGGTCACTTTAGATGTAACTCTGAAGTTGAAATCACTGCATGGGCTCGAAATCACTTCCAAAAAGCACAGTTTGTAAACACAGTTTGTTACTGCATTCACAAATTCAGGCTTAACCTGCACCATGCAGAGAGAAAACTATTCTAACATGATCCAGACATGCTGGCCTGATTTCATTTGAGACGGGCTGAGGAGAAGACAAACTGTGCTGTGGTCTGACAATTCAAAATGTGACATTCATTTGGAAATGATGGATACTACATCCTCCACTCTAAAAAGAAGGGGGACCACCCGCCATGACGTGCAAAAGTGACCCTAACGCTAACCCCAAACCCACATCTGAGAAGGCTGACCAAAATATTCAGATCTTAGAGCGAAACATGCTCCAATCCAGACAATGCCTTTCTCAGGGAGGAGGACCTTGCATAATACAGCGAGAAGATGTCAAACTGCATTTTAACTAATTAAAACAACACAGCGCTAAACTGGCTTTAGAGAAGTCCTGATTTACAACACCTGATGCATCGTGAAGTAAAATTATGACAAAGGATATCAAATTTGAGGCTCCTGTGAGAAGTTTTTGATCTTTAAAATACAGTTCAACTCATTGATGCTTTTTTATATGATACACCACCAGTGACGGAGTGAGGTTTTTTTTTACTGAAACAAGGGCAAGAGGGTAGGTGTCAGTAGAGCCCTTTTTTAAAAAAAAAACCTTTGACATTATATCATCACAAAAATTAAACATTTTACTGTCAAAAGTCAGCAATTTGATTTTTGTCAGAGGACACAATTTCAGTACGTAAAGGATAACCAACAGGGCTTGATACTAACTTTTTTCACAAGGAGCACATGTGCCCCAAAGTTGAAGAGGTAAGATGCACACAAAGAACTTGAGGGGCACAATGAAAATTGATCTAATAATGTTTGTCTTATTAGTCAACATAAGTACTATTATTAAATCAATTTTAGGTCTTTTGGTCACATGACATTGAAGCTATTGAAAGAAAACAGCCTTTTTTGAGAACATCAACCGGTAATTTATTGACGGTCCCTTATTTAACACCCGACGTTGACAGCGAGAGTGCTGAGTAGATTTAACCGTGCTGCTGTTGTTATTCCCGGTTATGGAGAGTGAGAAGACACCGATAGATCCACAGTGAATGTCTGTTGAATATCCAACCTAAAACTAACTTCACTGCGGTAAAAAAATAAACATTTATTGCCTCGTCTGATTTTTGTCTGACTTTGTCCACAGGGGGCGCCAAAGTAGATACAAACCGAAAGTTCCTTTCAGGAGCTTTAAAATGAAGATGTTTTTTCATAAAACATTACATATTTTTAGTTTTAACAGGCGATATTCTGTTTTTGCACTTTTTTCAATTGACTGCAAACCATCAAATGATGAAGCGTGCTTCCTCAGCGAACAGTAAATATATTTGCATTGGAGTGATATAACAAAATGCACGGATAACTGAGCGCACTCACCCGTCCTTGTAGTTGATGACCATGTCTACCAGCGTGCTGAGCATCCTGGTGAGTTCAGGAGGATTCGGTGGCAGCTTCTCTGCAGGTGGGCGTCCTCGCTTCCTCTTGACCTTTTCACCTGTCTCCTGCTTGCCCTGCAGTTCTTTCTCTCCAGGTTGATCACTCTTGCGCTTTTTCAGACTGATGTCTTCTTCCATCTCCTCCAGGGAACCGTTCTCTGTGGACTCAGGCTGCAGAAAGAGACGGCGATAAGTGTGGAGACCAAAAATAAAACTCAAACGTATAGCAGGCAAAAATTACAGGTAGTGAACACTCAAAGCTTGCACTTGCTTTTGTTGTCTGGATAATAGATTATGATTAGAAGGACTATGAGAGCTGAGGAGGTAGACCTGGCTGATTTTCATTCAAAATTCATCCTTTGACTTTCTTTTGTCAGATTTGACGCTGAGAAACTGATACACAGAAAATTTCAAACATTCAATGTGCTGCAAAAACAGACTCCAGGCGGCAAGCTTTAAGACTCAAACACTAAAAATCAAGCCGCTGTGCTAATGAGCAGTTTTGGCAGCGGTTGAAGCATTTCAGAGTATGGTTTTGTTTTTTAATGAAGAAGGGTTTATTTATCTCTCTTTCACAATGGCATCCGAATCAGCGTGAACGCAAGCGACCCCACTGCTTGTGCTGTCTCTGCAAATTCAGGACAGACCATTTTATCCGGAGGCTTTGATGTTAGATGATTATTAAGGGGGAGGCATCATATTTTATAAATGCACCATGAGATGTGAATAGATTTAAGGACGCCGTGTCTTTTTACGCTAAAAATGCAGTAAATATTAACTCGTTTGTCACAAAAAAATGAGAAAGAAACAGGATTTTACGCATCTGATGCCCGACACAGGCGCTTGCCGCATCCTGAGTTATTTTCAACCATTTCATCGCTTCATTTTCGAATGTCTGCTGCAACCACTTTATTCTCCACAAAGGCAATTAGAGGCCAGAAACATGAGTATGCATGCAGCAAGAGCAGCGGCGGCAGCAGCAGCAGCAGCAGCAGCATCCCCGTCTGGAGAGAGGAGGGAGGGAGGAAACAGAAAAAGCATGCTGTCCAATCCTAGCAGAATATTGATGCATCAATCTTACAGGCTTTTACAGTACACACAGCAGCAGCTCTCAAATCACAGAATAAATTGAGCATGCGCTTTTACATAAAGAATATTTCTCAAGGACGGAGAAGAAAGTATGCAGAAATGTTGAATTTTGCACACAGTTGAGATGGGAACAGAAGCATGAGCATGCAGCAACACAACTGTAAAACAATAATGCAATAGGAACGAAGGTGATACAGACACTCTGAGACAGAAACAAGAAGGAAGGCATGGCTGCACTTGCAAAACCAAAAGACATGGCAGATTATTGACTGAGAGGAGGCAACAATAGGAATCCTGCTCATCATCATCATCATCATCATCGCTCGGCTCAAAATGTGGGCTTTGAAAGCCCCGCTACTCTCTCTCTCTAAGGGGCTGCAATCGTTCCAGAGGAATACTGGAGGGATAGAGGGTAATCCTCAAAGATGTAAAACGCAGCTGAGAGCCTGTCTGACTGTGTGCATGTGTGAGAGGAAGCCTGTCAGTGTGTCTGTGTGTGTGTGCATGTGATGCTCCATGCCTGTGCCTTTTCTCCTAACAAGCCTGCCTCTTCCCTGACTAATCTGGCAAAGATTCCCTCTCATCTGTTACAACACACACCTACACACTCCCCTCTTCCTCACCCCCCCTCCTCTGCTCTGCTCTCCCTCACACACACACATATAAACTCACAGACACTCTTCCCCCCCAGCACACACACACACACACACACACACACACACACACACATTTTATCCATCTCTTCCTCTCTTCCCATGCGATCTAGCCTGGCTGAATCCAGAGTCTGAGAAGAGAGGGGGAGAGAAAAAAGGACAAGGAGAAGGATATTTACCTGAGTGCAATCTGCAGGCTGGCTATCAGGATCGGCTGCAGCTGTGGGGGAGAGAATTAGCAAGCCAGCATAGCGGCGAGCTGCTAGTCTCTTCATCAGCTGATCACTCAGAAGCAGAGCCCAGAAGGGGGGAGAATAAAAGCGCTATGTTTTCATATACAAATCAATGGGCAGGGGGAAAATAGAATTGCCATACCCATCTCCTGTCTGCAGCTCTCCGAAGTCTTTTTCCTGACTCTGGAAGGCCCCGAGCTTGTCTCCCTCTGCATGTTTTTAATATCGACTGCTGCCAGACGCTTTTTTCTCTCTCTTCCTACCCCGTTGTTAAAGTTATCGGGTCCATTTTTGTTGCGTTTTTTTTTTCTCCAGGATTGCATTTCAGAGAGGGGGGACGTGCCTTTTTTTTGTCAACCAATACAGTGAACGTTAGAAACATGAGTCCAGCCTGCAGTATGAGCACACTAGACATTCATGTCTGGGTCATACACTGTGGGCATGTTTGTGCACGTGCGTCCACGAGGGAGCGGGGTCATGTCCCCGTGAAATATTCATAAGGAGGCGTCATCAGAGCCTCCATAAACAGAGAGAAAAGAGATTTACTAAACTTATTACTGAGTATTTAATCATGAAAATTTCACTTTGAACTGAAAAATCCTCCTGACTTATGTCTGTATGGTGGCCGAAAACCGCCACTGCTGCAAATAGGAAAGAATACAAAAAAGGAAACTACAACATAAGTTACTGATGCAAGAAAAAAAAAGTGGTGATGCCAAAAAAAAAAAAAAAAAAAAATAGTTACTTTGAAAATAAAAGGATGCAAATAAAAAAAAAAAACACAAAGGAAGTGAGCTGCTGGGGACCAATAATGATGATTCGCTGGTGTTTTACTGCGCATTAGCATTGTGCGCATTCGGCGGGAGAGTCGCCAAGTGTCGCTGTGATGACTCAAATAGCGTATCCCCGGGTGAGCTACGCAGTCCCTGAACGCCCATCGGCTGTATCAGGTGTTAATCAAAGAAAACATGAACCCCTAAATAACTTTTAAAAATGGAGCTTCACAGAAAAAAGAGGACTTGAGCACAAACCATTCTCACTGTAACTACATGTTAACACCGCAAGCAGGGGGAGAAAAATGTATGTTCTGTGTAATTAATTTCTTAAGTTTGTCCACAGCCCCATAAGCTTTGCTGGCGGTGGTGGGATTTATGACCTACACTGCAGCCCATCAACAGAGGGTGCTGTTCTCAGAGTGGCTTCACCCAGCAAGGAAGCAGACGCTGTCCATTCTATATACAGTCTATGGTTATCTTTTAATTTTGCTTTGTAAACTTTTCAATTTGGTTAGGCCATGTAGCGCCTGAGTCGATATGAAGTTGAACTGAAGCTAACACTACACCGGCATCCTCCAGATCAACTTCATATCGACTTAGGAACATGGCCTGACCAAATGACACGATGAAAAGTTTACGAAGCGAAATCAAACAATAACCTTTCCACTTACTTCTTTGCTTGTCTTCTTGGCGTCGTCTTCTGTGCCGAGATCGTAAAACACCGGTGAATCACCATTATTGCTCCCCGGCAGCTCACTTCTGTTGTGGTTTTTTTTATTTGCATCCTTTTATTTTCTCATCAAGTGACTTTTTTTCCACCGCCACTTTTTTTTTTTTTTTTTTTTTTTTTTTTTGCATCACAACAACCGTTGTGACTTCTTTATTTTTGTGCATTTTTTTTTTTTTGCATCAGCAGTGGCCAGGACCAGGAACTTTCTCAGTTGAACCACTGGCTCAACTTACCCCAGAACTACTATTATGACTTTATTAGTCCTCTAAGCTACAATGGTGGACTTTTATGCTCGGTTTTTGACCTCATGTTGTAGGTCATAGATACCACAATTGATGTATAAAACAAATTTAAAATGATCTTTTTTGGTCTGAACACAATTCCAATAAAACTTTTGACAGACTAAATTCACTTTCAAGTGTGAAAAATGTTTTTTTTTTTAAATAAATGTCTAACCCCTTCACCTGTGTGCTTCTAACCTTCACAGACTCCATGAATTGATGCCCATCTCCTAAATATTTGGTCACATGATCAATTTCTTTTACCATTTCCAAGCAACAGGGGGTGGCTCAACTTACCCCACTCTCCCCTATTTAATCCTGAAAAAATCACTTTTGACTGTTAAATCCTCCTGACTTACGTCAGTGTACACGTGAACCAGGAACAGTGAACACAACATGTTGTGCTGCTAAAGTTTTCTTTGTTCACGCCACATAGAAGTCTCTGATAAACAACCTGAGCGCTAGCATGTTTACACAAGTAGCCAATGACATCTGCTAGTCAACAATACATCTGCTTGACATAAACCAGCGTGTACTATTCTTGTTGAAATTTGGACAGGTGTTTTTCAGTCCAATACTAACAGAAAACAAAAAGTGATTGGCTGTTTCTTTTTAAACAAGTTGTGTAAATTAAAATGTTAAAATGCTAATGCAAAACAAACAACATCCTGGGCTGAAAATAGGGCATTTTCCCCCGATGTTATTACGCTCAGTGTGGGATACTCAGTTTGACAAAGGATTTTAAAACCTGGAGGGAGGTTGTATTCTAAAGTAAAATAAAAGATATTATATATATTTTAAAAAAGAAAAAAAAGGAAACTTAAGCTAATTAAAAACTCTTTGCTGACATCATAGCATAGCCCGGGTTAGCATTCAGCCAAAAGCTAACAGCTATATTTGAAAGTCGTAGATATGATGGGAAAGGTGAAACCCTACAGTTTTACAATGTTAAAAATATTTGTGTCAGTTCCTAATATGTGGTTTGAAGTTTATATCCCTGAAGTCACCAATGTTTTTTCATTAAAAAAATAAATAAATAACTGTAGCTGTGTTCTGATGTAGCTCAGGGTTGTCAAGTAAGTTCTTGTAAGTGAAAATGTGGCTCACCTGGTTTTGGCTAATCATTGTTTATGTTACTGCTTGTCAATGTCGGAGTGGCTTAAATTTAATTGTTTATAGATGTCTGTACAACTTAAATCCTGAAACACAGTGGAAAGAGAGGATAGCAGTCCAACCTGAGCAGGATGTCCCATAAAGAAGGTCACCTTGGGAATATGGTCCAGTGAAGTCAAGTCGACATTGCTTAAACTTGCAGTTCATAGACTGGCCACTTGAGGCTCGCTTCACTAGCAAGTTGCTTACTTTAGGGTCTCATATTAACTCGTATTAAAAAGTGCAACAGCAGATTTAAAGAGGATAACAGTCTAAAAATAAAAAGTTTTGATAGTTAACCTAATTTTTCATATTCATGGGAATACATTTTATATGAATTATTTATCTAGACTCAAAGTTTGGTTAAGGTTAATTTTGGACTTTTGCTCGCATAAAGTATACTCTTCAAACTCACTTACCTTTCCAGAACTAATCTCATTATGTTGGAAACAATGTCTCTGACTATTTAATGAGCTGGCTATCTGTATAACTTTTTTAATGCACCATTTGGCAACTACTCAACAGCTCTGGCTACAGAAACTAACATGACGACACTCATGATGAAACTTTGGCCCAAACATATAGGTGATGTGGCCAAGTTAACTCTGTCAAAGCATTAAACACAGTATGATCACAAGCGTAGTGTACTGGCACGGCTTCTTTTAAATAAAAAGCAATGATCATTAATGCTTGTGCTTTTGTTCACAGCCCCAGATTCCAACAGGGTGATGGACCTAATTTACTTCTTTTTTTGTTTTTTTGTTTTGGGGGCTGATACTTGAACACATCTGGTTTCTGGGAATCGGTTTGTTATTTTCCCCCAACATGTGCAAAAATGCTGCTGGAAAAAAGCAAACAATGTCAGAACTCACACACCACAGGAAATTCAAGAAACAACAAAACAAGAACAGAACAGATCCGGATGACCCTGTTGCATGTTATTCAAATTCGGACTTACTCACAATGACAGAACAATGGCTCTTTTGCATAATTCAAAGGCTTGTGTAGTTTGTACTGGAGCTCGAAGAAAGCCTTACTGAGGACAGATTGAAGGCTTGTACGTTAATGATGACATATGGTGCCTTCGGATACATTTTCTTAAATCTCACGCACTAGCCCTCTAAAGACACTTAAAATAACCCATACTGGTCCTGGTTAAACATCAGGACAACTTGACAACTTTTAGCATGGATGAACAACATTAGAAAAAGGATTTTATAACAAAACTTCCCCCACATATTGCCAAAGATGACCTTCGTTCTCACCATGTTGACCAGCCATTTACAGTTGTGAGATTGAGGGTCAACTATGGTGGCCCTGAGGGTCAATTAAACATAAATCCAACACTAAATCATTGAATAAAAAGTTTCCACCGAGCAAAATACATTTCACAAAATGAAGAAATATTTCCAGCAACAGAAAAAAAAAAAAATCCTGAAAATTGACAAAAAAGGAAAAGATTTAATGAAATGCATATAATGAAAAGTATAAATAAAAAATAGAAAATTAATCTAAATCTAAAATCTAAATTAATCTAATGATGAAAAATTAAAATCGTTTCAGAAAAAAAAAAAATCCTGAGACAGAAAAAAATTACGAAAATATTTGTAAAGTGTTTTTGTATCACTTCAATTATTTTTAGTTTTTGAATTATTTTTTTTCAGTTCATGAATCCTTTTTGGCATTTTGTTAAATGTTTTTGTCTTTTATAAAATCTTTCTTTGTTTAGTAAAATTCTTTTTGCAGTGACTCAATTGTATTTTACAGTCGTGAAATGTTAGTGCAGTTGACCTTCAGGGCCACCATAGACAGCCAAGCATAAATGAAAAACATATTAAATGTGGAAGGGCAAAGAAAATGCAGTTCCTCAGGTGTCCACTTGAGGCTGTAAAAGCCAAGAAGTCCCCATCAGGACATGTCATGTTGAATGGCTGGTTCAAAAAACAATTTGGGGTATACTGCTCATTTTTATGATTTTTATAATAATGCATACATTAAGATAATATCAATCGAGGGTCAAGTTTAAATTTAAATTTGCATAATTAAGGGCTCTGATCAACAGAGTGTATTGTTCCTGTTAGTCTAACACCTGCCTCTGGTCCACCTCTTTGCCTGTTGCTAGATTTAAAGGCCGAGTCAGCATTTCCAATGGTATGCTTGCCACAGTTGGACTTCAGAGGTAACATCACAGTGGGTAACTTCACAGTGAACATGTCCATGTTGTTAAAAGTCTATATAGAAAGTCTATATAGTGCATAAGTAGAGGTTAGGCGCCACCTTATAATCTGTATGCACTTGTGAAGTTCTCTATTTATAGCTAGAATGGACAATTTAAGTATCAAAGAAATAAAAGGGACTTATTCAAAGATTTTTCCTTTTTTAGGGTGGGGTGGTTAATTGTCAATTTAGTAATTATTTAGCAAAAAGTGAGAGAATTTGCAGAGGGTTGAGCTCTCTGGTAGAAACTGAGACAAAAACCACCCTGTAGCACACAAACCAGACCAGCATCGTTGTCAGGGATACATCTGAGCAGAGCAGAGCGACTTATTAAAGACATTAAGTTTACATACTGTTAAATTTGCTGCAGCTCATCGACTGGTTTGTTTTATAACCTGCAAACTGCTCCAGCATTTATCTGCAGGAACCTTAACATACATAGAAATGGAGAATCATTGCAGGCCTGAAATTATAAATAATGAGCTGAAGAAGCAACAATTAATCTGCAGATGACAATCACATGAAACACGCTGTGCTGGGAGTATGAGAGCAGCATGAGGAGCACGCTGTTTCTTGATTTTAGCTTTCTTTGTTTCGTTGGCAATTTAATCTGCATGAAATTATGACTCAACCCTCTTTAAAGACTTTCACATGATTCAACCACTAAAAATAAAAAATACCCTTTTTTTAATAGGAAAACCTCTCATAGAGCCACAATAGGTCATGAGGTGTTGTGAAGTTCCTACACAAACATCGTGACAATGTGAAGTGACTGCTTTTGCTAACCCCGATGAAAAAGAGACATCATTCCAGCGTTATATTCCCGAGAACCCATTTCTCAAAACCACCGGCTGTTACCATGGCAACAGCAAATTTTTGATGGCGGACCTTGTATATCATTGTATTTTATTGCTGTTGCTGGGAAATGACTCAGAGTGCTCTCAGTCACACACGCACAGGCTCTCAGTAATGGGACGCAGTCGCAGGCTGCAAGGCGAGCGGAGGGAGGCGGCGACTGCAGGCCGCGGTTAGAGAATGACAACATCATTTTAAACATCTACCTGTGTGTTTTTTTCTTTTTCAGTGAAAGCTTATTAGTTCTGCAGCCAGGCAATGATTTTTTAAGATATCTCCTGGAGCAAGAAAAAACAAACGAACGCTGAGAGGATGCATGTTTCTCCAGCGTCTGGAGTGGCTTTTAGGTTGAAAGTGTGGTGGATTCAGTCAGAATAATGAGGATTTATCATCCTTTATTTTGAACATCACATTCCTTTATAATCAGTGTTCTTATCTAAAATTAAACACCAGTCTCTGGGTTGCAGAGCTGGTGCAGAATTGAATAATTGTCTCATTTGAAATGCTGGTTTCTTTCTTAAAACAGTCTCATTTTAGGAGCATGTTCATTAGAACAGTCTGTACTCAGCTAGCCAGTTTAATAAATGATTAATGGCTGGAGTTCACTTTAAATTTGCATTTGTGCTAACATAGACAGAGCCAAACATACTCTGATCATAATCCAGACTCAGGTCACACAGCCAGCAAACTACAAGCAAATGTTTTTTGTTTTATCAGGTTTTTGGGAGATGTTTAAAATTTAAAGCCTCCTGCATCATTTTCACCTTATTTACGAATAAATAAAGGACAATGTAAAGAGCAGGTAAATTGACCTATAGTACAGCAGTATGGTATAAAAGCTCTCCAGGTTGACATTCATGTGATGAAGATAAAGATGCTACAGGATACAGATAAACAGCAGTGTGGGGCACATCTCTGCAAACAGAGTCTATATTTGCTCTGATGTTCTCCTGACTCATTGGTACATCCTTCAGTGATCTGAATCAGGATGCTCTTTCTGATCACCTAAGGGTCCGACAGACTGCCAAGTCTATTAAAAAACATGTAGAAACCTTTCTACAGCGAAGTATTAGGGCCACATTGGAGAAAAAGTATATATTTTAAGAATCATTTAAAAATGTGTTAAATTTTTAGAGCAATTTTTGTAAGAAACTGATTTTTGTATTTTATTCTCCTAAGATTATTTTGCTTTGACTTTATTCTCCTTAAAATATATTTTTTCTTTCCTTTTTATGAGACAATGATGAAAATAACAATTAATTAATCAATATTTTTCTTCAATATGGCCTTTATAATCTTTCTCTTTCAAACAAAAAGCTCCTGCTTGTTAGGATGTTTATTTACCTCTTTATTTACTTACACTTTTCCAATTCTCATCACTTTTCTTATTTTAACTTGGTTTAATAATCTTCCCTAACCCTATTTAAAGCACATCCAGTTAGTTTAAAATGTAAAGGGAATTTTAATAAAAATATCAAAAAGAAAGATAAAAGGCCTTTCGTATAGATTTCATTTACAGATCATTGTTTCGGTGTATTTTTATTCTCATTTTTTTAATGATTTTTTTATATTTAACTAATACGTCACTCTCCTCTGGCTTTGCACTGAAAACAGCTTTACTTTCCCCTCATGCAATTTCCATGATAACGGCATCGCTCACATAATAAACCGATAAATAAAAGTGTTCCACAACAATCGTACTTTTTGGATCTTCAAGCTCAAAGAGGTTCCAGGATTTTAAATAGTAAACAAATGTCATAATAAATAGTTTACAGCTACAGTCAATAACAGGAAGTGACTTTATTCATAAAATAGTATCACACACCAAGTATGATTAGAATATAATCAGTGTCAAAGCTGTTATAATGCAGATACAAACACAAAGAGAAGTGAAGTGGTAATGTGAAGGTGTTGGAGCAATAGTTTTTCATTTTGATGTCTGGTTTGATGTAATAAAACACAACCTAGTTACGATCCAACAGTCTCTCTGACAAGACAATATGATTAAAAAAGGGTTAAAGCTGCTGTGAGTAGTTTTTGACTGGTAATCAAATAGAAATTTAAAGGGAGGCCCTTTTATGACCCTCAAAAGCAGCTGACTATATCTTCTTTGGATTTTTTAAGTGCCTAAAGCCAGTGTGAGGGGGTTGGTGTCATCACTTTGTCCACATGGGGGCGACAAATTCAACACAAACAGAAAGTTCCTTAGAGGAGCTTGAACGTACATCTCTGTTTTTTGTGTTGTTTCTACGAATACTTTGTAACAGTGAGTAAAATCAAACATGTCAGTCTTTTCATCCAATTAGAAAAAGAGTAAAGAGATTCAGATATTCCCTCGTCCTATGTGAATTTCTGTTGCATCTAATAATAAATAGTTGTAATTTTTGTATTTGCTTGAAATAAAAAATTTAGATTTTCAAAGTCATGCATAGTCATTGCTCTGGCAAAATAGTACAGATACGGTAAATGAATACAAAATATTTTACAATAGAATAAAAATATGGTAATAAAATGTCATTAAAATGAAAGTTTGAAGATATTTTTGTCAAAACAATCAACAAAACTTAAAAGTACTTATTTTCTGCCAATAGATTTTAAAAATCTGATTTATATCCAGAGGTTTTATATTTGTTAACACATCTCTGGATATGATGCTTCTGTTTATATTTTTGCATTTTCTTGTCTTTAACAACTATAACTATTGATTTATAAATATTATTTACAAATTAATAATAAAAATGATAATGCATAACTGAATGCAGGATATAACATTTGCATTAACCCTTTGATGAACACAGTAAAGTAACACACTATGGCATGCACAGTCTGTGCACTGTTATGCAGATGCTTCATTTAAACGCCTGCTAACTTGGTGTCAAACAATGAAGAGTAGAGGAAGAGATTAACCCTCTTTGATACTGAAACGCTGCTTCACTTAACAGATCAGTTCAGTTTGTGACGTCGCTTCATTCAGAGATGTTTCTACCACTTGAACTGGAGAGTGACCGGTGACGAGCGGCTGCCTGTAAAGACACAGAGACACACAAACAATAAATTACGATGCACTTTCCTCAGCTATACTTGGTATAAATGTGAAAGAAAACACTGTAATCCTCCTACCCCTGTCTGTCCTTTGGAGAAGTTGCTGTGTGCATAAAGAAGCACTGCAATGTCATGATGTCCGGCCTCCAGAGCGATGGACAGGGCCGTGCTGTCATCCTGTGAACACACAAACTTTGAAACATTATGAGAGATTCTGCTGGTTACTGTGCAAAGAGACTGTGCGAGGGAAGTAGATGATCGTTTAGTATTCCCTAAACAGTCAGGAGGAGGCAGCTCCACTGGGATACAAGTCGATGAAAAATGAGAGTTTCTACATTGTAAGTTACCTGCAAAAAATAGCTTTCTTTACAGTATATGGCCCAAACTGCTTGCACAAGTTCACTTTGTGTATCAAACACCACGTATGAATAATATCAAACAAGAAAATCCAGAGATCAGAGGGAGTAACACATTAAAAGTTCTGTGCAGTTCTTCTCTGATCATGCCCCCCAAACTGAAATATTTTAAACCCTTTTCCGAAATTAAGTTTTTTTTTTAAACATTTCAAATGACTTTATCTCATTGAAACTCTAAAATTAAAAGTAAAGTTGTCCATTTTGCAATTTGCATTCAGCAAAGTGGTGACAGTTTTAACTATGTTTAAAAACTTTAGAAAACACACTTATCAACACTCTTACTGGAGTACCACAGGGCTGCGTCCTCATACCTTTGTTGTTTGTGTTGTATACCAATCACTGCGCTTATCTTCAGGATAACAGTACAGCGACTTAATCTGCAGATGACGTCACTCTGATAGTTCGTTGTCAATGAGACGAATCAGGGGACTCCGATAACGCAATTTAAAAGACTGGTGGGTAAACAACTCAATGATTTTAAAAACAATAAAAAAAAAGAATTGATTAAGAAGACATTCCTCCATGTCCCCCTGTAGTTACAAATTAAAACTGATGTAAGATTTGCAAGGGCTCAACTGTGTATCTTGTTTTTTGAGGACATTGTAACGCTGACAGTGCTATTTTGAAGTTGAGCTTGTATCCAGTGTTAAGGGGAGGTCTTACCTGGATAAGGTTAGATAGGAGTGTGCAGTATTTCTTTCTCTAATGTTGATTATGTGTGGTTTTGTGTGGCTGTTGATGTCTCTGTCACTTACAGTCTGTGTATTACGCTCTTAAGGCAAAGCAAACTCTGCTAGTGGCAACTTCAGGGTCATTCATTCATTCATTCATTCATGAGCACATTTCATTTAAAGCCTTTTCACGTCCAGAAGGAGTAATCACCCAAATTATAATTAGCTAACCAAGCTAGCCTTACTGACTGCTGCTAACTAAAAATAGTCCTGGGCAAGCCCCCTTGTACAAATATGCTCACTTGGCTTAAAAACAAGACTCGCTGGGACTCTGAAATTTGGAAGTACACCACAGTGACCATGTCCAATGTAATATAAAAGCCTGGGTTTACAGTTTAGCTCTTATTTATGATTTATTGTTGACTGTTTGTTGCAGTTATTTACATATTTTATCATCAGACCAGCACCAATTCTCCTGAGAGGTAAAATAAAGTTGTTGGAATTGAGCTGAAGTGGATTTTGTGCATTCACAGGTGAAGAAATCTTGGCACAGCTCCTCCACCTTGTTTCTCTGACATCCTCAATGGAGGCTCCTTGAGACAGCTTTACTCCTCTCTTTGTAATTGACAGGAGGTGAGAGTGCTCTTTGCTTCACAGCTTGAAACAATCGGGGCTTGCACAATCTGCACAAAAGTGGCAGCAATGACTCACATACACTGTCAGTCAGAGAGGCATCGCAGTCCGGCTGTGCCAGCAGGAGGCGGACCATCTCAGCGTGGCCGTGCTCGCTGGCACACATCAGCGCAGAGGAGCCCTCGTCATCCTGCAGGTTGACCTCCGCCCCCTGGGCCAGGAGTGCACGCACCATGTCCATCCTGCCGTGGCTCACAGCCAGCATCAGAGCCGTCTGACCGGCCTGGAGGGCAGAGAGTACGAATCAAACGCAGGAAATTAAGTAGAGGATGCTGTCTCAATCAATAATATTATTGGATTGAAACAGATCAATCTTTCTAAAGTCTGTGTAAGTATAATGTACATCCATCTGAGTTATTGAACTCCATTATGCTGCAATTTACTTTCAGTCATCTTGTGCTTTTCTACTTCATTTTGAGCTAATTACAAGGCAATATTGTTGAGGCAATTTTGATGAATTGCAAGTGTAATTTTAAGTTTTCAAGTGGTGCACAATTTTGCAAAACATGCAATAACAACTATGCTTAAAAAAAAAACCTCTAACACGTTCATAATGAGAGGCTATTAATCAAGGTTTGGCTTTGGAGGAGGTTTTTGAAAGGAGATTCTTCTGTAAATGTTTTTCTTGGATCAGGAGCAAATTACATAGCCTATATTGAGCCTTTAATGAGGGTATTATTAAGCATGGCAAAAATACATTATTAAATGTTGAAGAAGAAGATAAATACACCTCTTCTTAAAGTTTCAGAACAAACTTTTCTTTGGTTTCTTGGTTTATGTGGGGTGCACATTCACTCCAGGATAATTAGTTGTAATAATACCACGCAAACCAGTTAGGAATGAGCCTGAGAGCTGAAACTGAACTGGTTTAAAAATAAAACTTGACTTTCTTATTCACCCATTCACTGTAATAATAATCCAAACTATGTTTTTTTTTTAAATTCTGGACAGAGTTCAGAGGAGTCACAGACTGACCTGGCTGGCCTTGGCGTTGACGTCTCCTTTGGCGAGGAGCTGCTCAACAACTTTCATATCCTCTGGACTCTCCACAGCTGCCAGTGCAGCCAGCATGACGGGTGTGTATCCTGCTTTGTTCTGCTGGTTTACGTTACACACCTCTGCAGAGAAGAGAGAGAAATTATATTGAAGTGTTTATTTGTGACATTTTTAATACTAACTTTTCCACAAGTGCTGACTATGGCAGGTTTTATAATGATAGTACATCTGCAAACTTTGCATTTTTCAGACTAAATGTCGATTCTAAAGGTTTTAGTTTTTCTTGCTTTGATCCGAGGCATCAAATTAAAATAACAAACAACTGAACTGAGAAGACAAATTCTGTCAATTCAGTCTGAATGGGATAAACGTATAGGTTGTATCTGGACATTAAGGCTGGATGTGATTCGATTTGTGATTTAACACAGATGAGACGGGCACCCTGTGAAGGGGTCAAGAGGTCTGAGCCAGCTCCAGGCTGTGACTTGACAAACAACAAGATCGATATGTGAGTTGAATACAGGGGTGAATAAAATACAGAATTGACTTCAGGTTTTGAATCTGCACTGAGTCCCTTTCTTATTTCTGGTGTTTTAAGGATAATGTTTGTCATTATGTCGTGACAGCTTGAAGGTCAAAGTGACATTTGACCTCGACACCCCCCGACATTTGGGGGTTGAAGTGGTGAAACGCAGTAAAAACTAGGGCTGGGCGATAAACCGAAAATTTACTGATACCGAAATTTACCACAATAACCAAGGCCATTTTGCCAGAGACGTGATTCCACGCCATCCAGTCCATAACAAAGAGGGACAGACAGGTGAGGAGATGGAGGACAGTTCAAAAGTTGTAGCGGCTGGAGCGGCGGCTAAAGTAGACGAAGTTAATGTGGGAGGGGGTGAACAGCTTGTGGAGTAGTTATCCTCCATTTATCGTTATCGAGGTGAACTGCTCAATATATCGTGATATTGATTTAAGGCCATATCGCCTAGCCCAGGGGTCGGCAACCTTAAACACTCAAAGAGCCACTTGGACCAGTTTCCCACAGAAAAGAAAACACAGGGAGCCACAAAACCTCTTTGACATCTAAAATGAAGATAACATTGCATATATCTTTTTTTTTTTACCTTTATACAAAGTATATAAAAAACTGTAGCGAGTTGCATTTATGAAATAAATGAACTATTTCGGCGAGTGTCTGTCTTCTTCTGTAGTTAAACCGCAAGATATCAAAATCTACCCGGATACAGCAATGCTGCTTTTTGATTGGCTGTTCAGTAGATATACTTTATTTGATTGGCTTGTGTGTGGCACGCAGCTTCTGAACTCTCGGAGAAACTCAGCTGATTTCTTCCTGTTCCATAGTTAAAGAAGTGCAACTTGGTGGACATCACCGTGTTCATTTGAGTGCGTGAGAAATACAATGTGTGGTGTGTGAGCGTGTGAACGAGTGGGAATGCGTGTGTCAAACGCTGAATGCATGAGACTTGAGAGCCCTGTGCTCACGCATCATCGATGTACTCCCGAGCCATGCAAAACGGTCTTTGCAAATGTTGCACTGAACGCCTTCCTTTTCAGTCTTGGTGAAGTTTTCCCACACCACTGATGTTTTAGATCGGGATTTGGGTTGGGTTGTGACCATGTTTTTCTCAGCCGCTGCCTCGGCCATGGCTGTTTCTTTTCTGTGTGTCCTGCTGATGTTCACACGCCGGTGTCCATGGACATATATAAAGACCCGACGAATCGATTACAGAATTTGTTGGCAACGGATTTTTTCGTCACGACGAATCTACTTAATCGATTCGTTGTTGCAGCCTTAATAGTTTATTTAATGTTACAAGAGCATTATAATCTTTGAATTTAGAATTACAAAAAAAATAATAATAATAAAATAAAATAAAATGCAATTAAGTATTTATTATTTATTTTCCAAATCCATTGGGAGCCGCAGCTTAGGGAGGAAAGAGCCGCATGCGGCTCCAGAGCCGCGGGTTGCCGACCCCTGGCCTAGCCCTAGTAAAAACAGAGATTGATACTGGACCTGCATCAAGCAGTTTCTTCACAATGCCAAAGTTGGAGTGAGACACGCTGTAGTGCAGAGCTGTGTTTCCGTTGCTGTCGGCCATGTTGGATATATGCTGCAACACAGAGGGTGCAATAACCCGAAACGTAGACAGGTAATCCTGTACGGTGTCGGGAGCAGCTGACTTGTGACTGGACACGGAGAACCAATCCTGCTGGAGAGTTTGAAGACAGTCGTGCTGCAAGCCACAAAGAAGACAAAAACACGGGTGTAAGTATACAGAAATGTTTTTATGCATACCTTGAAAGTTGCAAAAGTAATTTAAAGTACTGCTTTGAGATAGATAAGAGCGTCTGAATGACAGGGACTGGAATGAAAGGAGACAATGAGCATAACCAAGTAAATACCGAGACAGAATTGAAACAGCCTGTGACTCTGTCTTCAATAAATCCTTCGAAGTGAGAGCTTTCACTGCGTTTCAGGTATCATTATCAGGTCTTTACAGTCTTTTTTCATATGCCTCCTTTGAATTCTCCGTCCCTCTATCTGTTTACCAGTTTATCGAGAAAGAGAGGAGCGTCTTCCCTGAACAAAAAAACGTTGTTCTCAAGCTGAAGACAAACACAATGACGGAAAATTGCAGAGCTGACACATTCCTGTGCTTTGCATTTTCAATGCCAAAGTCATTTCTTATAAAATGACATACTTCAGTACACCCATCTCTCCACACCCATCCGCTGACATACCATTTAACGTGCACACACACACGCACGCATGAAAGAACAAACGAACGCACGCACGCACACACACACAGAAATAGTAACCTTCTGGTCCTCACAGTGAACGCAGAGAGCAAAAACATACCAAATCTCTGTCGGATAATGTTGTCTCATTACTCAGGTGCTTTTTCAGGGCTTGACAAGCAGAAAACATCTTCTCACTCAACCTGCACCTTGAAGGAATAAAATACTGCAGGTTAGAGATGAAGCTCTCAAACAAGATTCATGGGTGCCTCAGCTGACTTCCAAAAAAGCCTGGACTCTTGCATTACCTTTGTTGCAGCTGTGTTCTTGTTGACCCTTTTGACCCCTTGCCGGAGCCGCTTCTTCCTTTTCTTGATTGCGCTCCATCCTGAGAAGCATCCTTGAGTTTTTTGTTCACTTTTCTGTCGGTTTCCCCAGAGTTATCCTTCTCACTTGCAGAGAGCAAGTAAGACGAGACAGGGTCCAATCTGAAGAGGTAGCATGAGCATTAATACTGGGAATACAAAGTCCTTCACTCGTTTTGAAAAACGTTAAGATGTGATTTTGTTACCCTGTTGTCACCTCCATGAACTTCATATTCTTCCTGTTGCTGCTGCAGCCTTGGTCCCCACTTGATTTCTTCCTTACAGGCCGCAGGACGGCAGCATTAGCTGACTTTTCTGCAAAATAACAGGGAAGCACACTTTGATTCTTAACAGTGTTGTTCAGTAAGGAAAGTCGCTAGTGGCTGTCGTAAAAGTCGCTAGATGACGTCATCTCCTAATTTTCATAATTTTTCAGTCAAATTCTTCCTCGCTTCCTCAGGGTGTCTGTGTCTGTGTTCTTGATGCACACCAGCTGCCCGTTGAGAAGAGTAACATCTAATACCTGCTTTCATGTTAGAGTCTCTGAACTCCAGAAAAAGTCGCTTGGTTTGTCGCTAGGCGCTTTCTTGAAAGTAAGTCGCTAGGGGGGTCAGAAAAGTCGCTAAATCTAGCGACAAAGTTGCTAGGTTGGCAAAACTGATTCTTAATGGTTTGAATTGCACCTGCAATGTGTGCACGTGCATTGATTACACTTATAGTTGCATCTATCTGAAATCGCTGCAAGAGCTTCTGACGCTTATCATTGATGGAAATTACTCACTATGCACAAGTTATCCAATTGCATTTTTCACTAAAGCTCATGTGGTTTATGTTGCTCCATCTGACCTCTCTACTCTTCATGAGGTCAGATGGAGCTGCCGTCAGAGTTGTTATTCCACAACATGAAAAGACCCATTCCCCTCATCATCCCCAAGCAGCCACAAGAACGAATAGTTGAAGAAATACAACAAAACTATTTGTTCACAAATATTAGATTAGTTAATAAAAATGAAAAAACTGATTAGAATTTACCTTCAGGGTGAATCGAGGCTAAAAAAAAACAAAGAACAAACTAAATTCAGAAATCAAAGAAACCGAAGTACAATCACTAACAAACAAAACACTAACGAACAAAAGACGAGAAAAACAATTTTAACTAAACTAGGAATTTACCTCTAAATAATAAAAACAAATGCAGATTCAGAACAAATAGTTATGCGGCTGGCTGACGTCATCTCCCAGCCAATTATGAGGGAAAACCATGACCCGGCCAATCATCCACAGAGGTTTAATACACCTGTCTGCCTACATACAAGCACATCCAACACAGACACTTATGATTTAATCAAACTGAATGAAACACCTATAGCGTGAGATAAGTAAACAGATTTTAATACATGTCATCTGTCTGTTATATATTCATGTATAAAATCAGAGTTCTAGTTTTTCCATGGCTGTACAGCCCTGTTTCATACTTCATTCATCTTTCTGTCATCTGCCATGTCTGTGCGAGTTAACATATTCTTACAAACCAAAAGGCTTCATTCCAAATGAGAACGCTCTCTCTGACACCAGCCCCTCCTACGCAGCCATTCAATTTTAGACCCTCGGCCACAAACTGGTATGTGGTACGAGGCGCCTTCCAAAACCAGATTTCATTCCAAACATTGCAAGTGTGTATCCCTAACAAAAGCCAACGTGCCAAGCCAAAGGCAGCCACTTCCTCTCAACCTCACAAGAGTTAAACTGGGGCTAGGGAGTTGTCTGAAAGTGGAGTATATTTTTAAATTGGACAGCTTTAACACAGGCGATATTCTCGCCCATTGTACCAATACACAGAGATACACATGTTTACCTTGACGAGCTGAGGATGCCTGTTGTTCTAACATCTGAATCATCTTTTTCACCTCATTGCCGTCTCGTTGTAAGAATTCCTTTTCAGCTTTCTCACATTCGGAGGACTCCTCCACAAGTTTAGACGGGATATCTCTGGAGACTTTGACAAAAACAGGTTATTAGGAGAGTTACAATTAAAGGGTGCATTTTTTTATTCTCACAATACGCCTATGTCAAAACAAGGCGGCACAACACTCCTGCATGATGATCGATTCATTGCCATCATAAAAGGCACCCTATGAGTTTGGTAAAACAAAGATTGATTTGATTTGTAAATCTCATTTTTTTACCACAAGTAGAACTATTGGAAAAAAATCAGTTGGCACTTTCTACTTTGATAACTTTGAGGTTTGTAGCTAAGTAAGTTATCTTTTACCATTTGATTCCAATCAAAAAGACGTGCATCAAGTCCAACTCAACGCATGGGCAAGTGGTTTGCTTCTGCCTCTTGTGGTTAACTTGAATATTGCAGCAACAACTACATTGTTTTACATGTAAAAATTTAATTTTCCACCTGCTTTCACAAATAGAAAAGGGAAAATGCCATCCTAAGAAACTCTATGGAGACTTTTCACCTGCTTTTAAAAAGAACCCAAAAAACAGGATACCTCAGAAACACTATCCAAGGCAGATTTTATTTCATCAACATATTTTCACCAAAAAACAGGACTCAAAAAAAGGTTTTTAGAAACTTTCAGAAGAAAATTTTAAAAATTGTAAGAGTACCTGTGAAACCTGTCTTTCAACACCTATTTTTTTTAAATATGTTTTCACTGGAGAAAGTCACTTTAAAGAGACTTTTTTTTTTCAGTTGCTCAACTTTTTTCTTTGATATATCTAAAGATGAAAGAAAAGCAACTGAAGGAAATGATCAAAGGAAAAGGTCTTTCTATGGTCAAAAGAAAAGGTAGTTTTTTTATCTCTATCGCTAGAATCTAATACCACACAGTGCCTGTTATGCTTATTATGAAATCTCTGTAGTGTTACCTAGTGGATAAGCATCTACTGCATGGTCTTCTGGTTCTTCTTGCGCTGCAGCTTTGCCAATGCAGGACAGCTTTAAAGGGGTACTTTCTTGGCTTCTTTGCTGCGGGACAAACTCCTCTGTCTGTGGAGTGCAGTCTTCTGTGAGGAGGTCTCCATGCTCTCTGAGGAGCCACTGCATCTTCTCTATGTAATGGTTCAGCTCCGGTTCCCACTTGGACTGTGAAGACTGCTGGAACATCTGGCCAAGCTTGTTTGATTGAACAGAAAACTCTCGTACCCTCCCTTCTCCTACGCCGATACTCCTTGTCTTAATGGGGTCAGGTAGATGGGATGGTCCAGAGGCCATATTTCGTGTTTTCAACCCAACAAGGAAATTATCATAGATGTTGGTTAATCCAACACCAGTGTCACGGGTAACCTTCATGACCATCCCTGGTGTTTGTTTCAAGGCCCCTTCAAACAGATTCCCAGTTCCCACACCAATAGTGCGCATCTCTGGGCTGCTTTTGATATCTTTGACCCTGTTACCCACTGACACTGTCCTAGTAGCAGTTTGGGTGGTGTTGGTGTGCTTGTCTTGGGTACTCAGGATGGTATTAGTGCTAGAGTCAGTATTGAAGGCATGTCTGGTGTTGGTAAAGCGAGACACTGAGCTGGATACGGTGTTGGTGCGCTGGGAAGTTGTCTGAGGAGATGCCATGATCCCCAGATCCACCCCTCGAACTTTGTCTGTTGAAATACCTTGAGAAACCACTTCCACGTCAACCGAACACTCCCCACAAGCTACTGAGCGATTCTTGATCTTTCTTTTCTCAGACCACAGATTCTCCACTGGCACATCAGTGTTGGTTTCCATGTCACTGAATTTTACTTCCACCCCAACTCCTTGTGTGTTGGTAGAAACTTGGATCCCAACGCCTTTGTCCAAAGTCTTCACTCGCTCCCTGACCTCCCAGTGGTTCATGGGAACATCTGGTCCTGCACTAACATTCTTCAATGCAGGCCCACAACAGGACACTCCCACAGTCCTCACCTCAATTGCCTCTCCTGTGCTGGCATCTCGGAGTTCGGTATGATTACCGACTCCCTGGCTAGTGGTGTGGGGCCTTGCCTCTACGCCGATGCTCATGGTGGATGGCTGAGCAAAAGAGGCTTTATCAGCTCTGTTCCTGGCTCCTGCAGCCTGGAGCTCCAATTTCAGACGGCTCATCTCATTCTGCAGAGCTGATTCTTTCAACTCTGCCTCCAGGTAACAAATTCTCTCCTTTAAGGTTCCAATTATTAGCTGTTGGGTGTCAAGCTCTGCTTCCCGTTCCTTGTAAATGCCAAGATTGACTTCAGAAACATCTGTTCCAATAGACCTCACCTGTACTCGATCAGTGTGAGTGTATTTGCTTTCTTTTGTGGCTTTAGAGGAAGTTATGTCTATATCTCCATCAGTTCCAACTGCAACTGACTTAAAAGTCTTATCATGAAGAGGTCTTTGGGCTTTTCCGTGACGTGCCGGCACATATTCACCCTTGATGGTCGACTCCAATGCCTGCATCTCTTTGGTCAGTTGCCTGAACTCACTGAAATCAGAGCAGAAAGTTTTTTCTATTCCCTCCATCCTTTCTTCTGTATTTAACTTGTTCTCAGTGTCAGATCTCTCAATGCTACGCACCCTCTTCCAGATGTCTTCCGTTATGTCTTCATCACTGTCACCCACATTCTTGAGCTGGGAGACCAATTGCCGCTTTTCCTCCTGAAGGACTGATATCTTTACCTGAAGGATGGGGATGATTTTCACCTGCTCTTCAAGCTCCTTAAGCCTCTGCAGAGCAACCACCATCTGGTCACGGACATGCTGCAGGTGCATTTGGCTCCCGAGACTTGCAACTGGGGTGGATCTACCAGAGCTCTGTGGGCTTAGCTTGAGGCATCCTATGCTGCCTCTACCACCCAGGGATGAGCTAAGATGGATATGCATATCACTTGCTGTGCTTGTAGGCTTGTTCCCATTGTTGTTTTGATTATATGCGCCCAGGCCGGTGAAGGGGGAAAGCGACCCAGGTGAGCTCACACCTCCAAAGCTGGCCAGTCGTCGCCTGGGATATGGCTGAGGTGGAGGTTGGCTCGGTATCTCCTGATCTGAGGCACTGTGGATCTCCGCTGTGGTCTTTTCCACCACAGGGTTTTGTCTTTGTAAATTAAGGGATCTTGCAGCAGGTTGAGGCTTTGACTCAGTAAGCATTTGAGAGGATGTTGGTCCTTCATTCCTTGAGAGTTTGTGGTCCAATAACAAGCCATGTGGTGGAGGAAGAGGAGGTCGACCTCTGGTTGTAGAGGACATTCCCAGTAGTCTTGTATCATCACTAGTGGATGATGACAAGGATTCTGCAGAATGCCACTGGCTGGTTGAAATACCACTCTGTGGTTTTTCCACATGACTGACGGCCACTCTGGGCCTCCTCTTAAGGCTTAGCCGCTTAATGGTGGCACCGTTTTGGAAACTATCCACACAGTTTAGGTAGTCCACGTCTGATGGGTAATTGCCGTCAACCCCAAGGTAGTTGGGGATACGCTGCTCTTCAGTGCTTTGACCTAGAAGACCAACAGTAATACTGTCAGATATATTCCAAACACTGGGCTCTGAAAAAGTTCAGTCTTATTATCCTAAAATGTACACAAATAATTTGAACCCTCAAATTTCTGCCTGATTACGTTACACAACACATCAAATGGTATTCTCCCCATGCATCGATTTAAGTGTGAAACTCAATACTCAATATGAAATTCAAACAGCAAAAAACAAAAATATATTTTTTTTCTCTCAATGCAAATAACAGAAAAAAATAACACAGAAAAGCTTTACGAAAGTGTTGCTGTATTATATTATCTACTTTCTGCCCTAATAGTTAAACTTTTCTTACCTTCGTATTATGGGCTCATCGGCAACCTTTGCTATTCAAGTGTATGGAGCCTTCTTTCTGTCTGCCTCAAGTGTTTTTGACTATAAGTTCCTTGAGCCTGTCCCACAAGAAGAGGAGGGACAGAGAGGATGTACCAGTCTGTTTTCAGTAGTCACTTCTCTCCAAATGGTACGTTTCTCTGCATAGACTGAACCTACTCTATAATTACTCTGCAACTTTCCCTCTAAATGCCTGACCATGGTCTTGGCAGGTTCTCCTAACCACAGACATCCTCCAAGTATTTCAGCCAGTGAACAAAAAACAATACTTCATACGGTAAGAATTTATCAAAACTTGTAAATCAGTTTCTGATTGATCAGAGCTGTACATTTTTAAAGGAATGAGTCTTTGAGTGGTCAGATAGATTAAGAGCCTTAATTTCCATAATAAATCATAACTGTGGCAGGTGGGCTGGTGCAGATCCCAGCTTTCATTGGGTGTGAGGCAGGGTAAGCCCTAGACAGGTCAATTAGAGTGCTGGTATGTAGAGACAACTAACGATTCACTCTTATGCTTACGGGTAATTTAGAACAACCAGATAACCCAACAACTATTTGTCTAGAAAGAGGGAGGGTGTTGGTGAGAACCCAAGCATGCAAGATCATGCAAACTCCACACAGAAAACCCCTTATCCAAAAGCAGGAATACAAACTAGGAACTTCCTTGCTGCAGCTCCTCAGCAAAACTCTCACCAACAAAATGCATTGTATAGCAGAATTTTAAGTTATAAAATTCACATCAAGCAAGAACTAGAGTGATCAGGAGATAAAAACTTATAATTACCTGACACATTTCTTAGGATGTAGCTGCCTTGAGCCATGAATATAACTCACCAAAGATCAATAACAGAAAATTTCCTTTATTTTCAGCTGGATCTTTAAAAAAGTCTGCAAATTAAAGAAGAAAATGCATGCAAATAAAGCTACACATCCTTAAAAAATGAGCTTTTCCTGCATGTGGTCCTGCAGCATCACTCCTTGGCTATCTTTCTAAGCCAGGGTCCAGCAGTCAATAGCAGCTAACCTTCCATTGCTGCTTACATAAAGGAAATGCAATACCAGGCCATGACATATAATAGTTAATTCTGCAAAGTACAGAGAGCGAAAGGCAAGGCCTCAGTGCACAGGAGTGACTCACCACATTGCAATGCCATATCACTTTCTCACTGGTAAGCACCTTCTGTTCTCAGCATGTGGAGCTTTCAGGGAGTTTAGTTTTAGCAAAGAATGCACAGTCTTAAATCTTTGTGGCTATTAGCTGAGTGATGTTATTGTGTAAAAAAATCTAGCATTTTGCAAGTATGTGGGGCCTTTTGGAGTCAAAACAAGAAAGAGGATAAGGGAAATGTAGGAAAGATGGAAACATTTGAGACAGAACGGAGTAAGATTATGAAAGAGTTGATTTTAAAAAACTAGAAATGCCATTATGCACTGCTGTCAAAGTCAATATTGCTTGTAAGCTCTTAGACATAGTAACTAAATGTAAATAGGATTATCCATTCATCCATCTATAAAGGGATTAACCTCAAGCTGTCAGACCAGGGTGTTACAACCAAACTCCCACAGTGAATGTCATTAATTATACATACCTAACATACTTTAAACTAGGCCTATAAGTGTAAGTGAATATCTAATACATAGACTTAACATCAAAATCAAGCAGTCTCTGCAGTGGCATTCAAAATATTTTTGTATCTGAAGCCTGACTGAACTAGAGAACACGACACCGAGCTTCAGGCAATGAATGCTGAAGTTTGGCAAGTTTGCTTTAGATTCAGCCACAGTGACCCGGAGAACTATTTCTGTGACTCTTTGATGAATTATCCAGAGTGACTTGGGAAAACTTCTTGAGGGGAAGCAGAGACAAGCTTGTAGTGAAAAACAGAATCTGAAAGATGAAGAAGGTGGAGAGACAGGGGAACACAGAGAAGTTAAATTTAGACATAAAATTTGAATATGTGTGCAACCCTTATGTCAACGTAACTTAAACATCCTAAAAACAAACTGCAATGGTTATGTCATGATATGTTCTGTTAATTTAGTTTTTTCCTTGTTTTGTTATTTGAGTGCATTTTCTCTTTTTTTCCCCCTTGTGTTTCTGTTCACTGTTTTCAGTTTGTGTTTGACCCTGTTTCCCTCCTCTTCTCTGTGTTTTATTTTTTCGATCAGTTCTCATTGTTTCCTGTTTTATTTTGTAGTAGTTGATTCCTTGTGTTTCTGGTCTGGTTTTACTCCCCTAATCACCCATGAGTTTCACCTGTGTCTCGTCTGCCTCACCTGTTGCTCGTTTCCCAGTCCCTGTCTTCCCCTCTGTCTCTGTTGGTTCATTGTGTGTGCATGTAGGTTGATGTTAATGTATGTTTGGATCCCCAGTTCGGATTTCTCAGTTGGACATTTTGAGAGTAAGTTTTATTTGGACTTTTCCTTTTTGCTTTTGCTTAAATAAATCCTTAGTTCTGCATTTCGGTCCTTTTTGTGTAGCCCTGCACTATGACAGGTTAGCTTCAGTGACCTTAGTACTTCTATATTAACTTTTGTATCTTTTGGCTATGTCATCTTTGGCATCTTGTGTGGACAAAACGCTGCATCTCAACTCTCCTCTGATCTTTACTTGCACTTACAAAAACTGTTTTCTGATGATAAATCTTGTCTAGCTTTAGTCAAGTGTATCCCTTATTCTAAATCTTTGCCTTGTAAAATGCAAAATCTCGTGTGACACCTTTTTTAGGTGGCAGACTTAAAAATATACTATATAGTACAGGTCTTTATCTAAAGGCTTGTATTCACACTGTGTTAAGCCATTTGAATACAAATATTCATTGTAAGTGTGCATTTGGACATTTTAAAGTAGTTTGTCATTTAATCCAGTAGAGGGCCCTCTCATCGTAACCTGACCACTGCATGCATTTCTGACCTCAGTAAATTAGTACAGTGATGTTTTTCCACAAAAAATTGAGGATATGTGAAGCAGATCATCATGACACCAAAACATCTGAGAAGGGCCTTGTGGAAGTATTTCGGGCTCCACACTATAAATAGCTAAATAAGAGGCAAAGATGGGACTATGATTGAATGCAAAACTTGTGAAAGTTTAAGATAATACCTACTAAATGTCTCTGCTGTTGTCTGCAATTTGAGGTATTTCTTTACAGCATAATTTTAAACTGGGTCTCATTGGGTGCTATAGTCATGCTTGTTTGTTGTGCTACTGAAAACCCTAAAATGAAGTTATAAAATGGAATCTTGAAGCATGAATATTCAAACATAGCATGCCATACTTTACATTCATTCAAACCTGATTTTTATTTTAAACTGACAGCCTTGCTTTATAAAGATTGTCAGTCTTCTTCCTGGTTGTCTGGTGTGCTTTTTTAGCTCATAAATCGACATCAGTGCAAATTTCAGACTGTTTCATCACCAGCGGCTAAAACTCCACACAGGAGCTTAAAACTTGGGGAAACAGTTTATGTATTTGAAGTGTTGAACACCTGCATTGCTCGCCATGGTGCAACAATATCGTCATGACAACAAGGTTCAACCATACCTTATTTCTGGCATTGGTTATTGTGGGTCTGACTTGCATAAGGAAATGACTGCATATTTGAATGTGTTTTTTCAATCCATGCTTTTTATTTCCAACATTTTCCTGTAATGAGGTTTTTAGTAGCTTTCTTGAGCTTACGTTAATCTCTCATTGGCTGGGATAAGAAAGTATATTAACATATCTTTTCGCTTAACTAGTTATCACTTGTTAATCAGTAGTTTAACATGTTGAGGACAGATATAGCTTTATACATTAGCAGGTGAGCGTTAACCAAGTTCACAAAGGTTATGTTTATATTCATTTGTCTAAAAGTGACTCATGTATGTAAATATAAGATCTGTCTCACTTCCAGTATTTGGCTAGAGATGTAATTGGGAGGTTATCAACACATGTAAAGCAGAAGCTTGCCTCAAATATATCTGACTTTGGGTATGGTTAGTATATCAGTATACGTGGCCTTTGTTAGGAAAAAAACAAGTCTTGGATAAATTTAACAACAAACTGTTCATACATTGCTTTTAAAATAGTCACTGGATTAAAATCTTAAGTCATATTTGGACGTCTGTGAAATTAGCTCAGTTAAACTTAAATGTAAAAAAAACTTATTTCAAAAAGAAATATTTTTAAAGTATTGGACAAACAAAACACTAGCTGAGTATCAACAGAGAGACTTTAAGGTGGATGTTGCTGAATGCTCCTTAACCCTGACTCTTTGTGGTCGAGCTAAAAACACAAAATAAACTGAAACCATAAACATAAAAAAAGTGGTTTTAACTTTAATCTCTTGAATGTTTGTGGATTAATTTTGGTGGTCCACTGTTAATATGGAGCGAAAACTGTCGTTAAATTACTCGCTAGCTTCCAGGGATGAGATGAAACTTACCTGCGCAGGAAGAGAGGATGTTAGCCAACAATAAGTAACTCGAGTGATGTCAAAGTTAAAAAATAATGTTTCACGAAAGCTTTCTGTCCAAAAAAATCAAATAAAACCATTAATTATGCTCGAGGGTTTATGTTTGCCCCTTTCCTGTAACGTTTTTCAACCAACGCCATTCATGTGAGACAAAAGTTTTCAGTGCAGGTTCAGGAGTAGGATAGTGACTGCGCATGCGCGTGGATCTGTCAACAAGCCCAGCAGGTGCTCCTGGGAGCTGGTCAGGTGATGAAAAGTACTTAGTGAAATATTGATGATGCCTTTTCTTCAACTGAATCGATTACAGAGAGGACGACATGACTACTATCTTCTTTGACTGTGAGGCAGCTTTCTTGTGGATTTATGAGGGCCTCTCTGCAATATAAGACACGTTCACGGCCTGTTTGGTTAAAAATGGAATATTTCGACCCATTAAGTTTCTTTATTTTCTTATCAAAAACTCAATTTTTATATTCACTATCAGAAGCAAATAAAACACTGTTCATTACTTTTTATTTTTCAACATTAGACACATAGCAGAATAAAAAAATAGCATAGTAGTAGCAGTATTGTTGTTTATTATTTTTGTTGATATCATTATCGTTATTGTTGTTTATTTTTGTTGATATTATTATTATGGTTATTGATTCAATGCTCAGACTTCACTCAATATGTTCATATCAGCTTCTTAACTGCAGGGCGACATCATGTGGCCATTTGTGAGAATTGCATTTTGCAGCAGATACTAGACCCACAAAACTGGATGTATGCTTCTGCACATTTTGACAAGAATAGCCAAGAAAAAAAATACAAATGCAAGTTTTGGCCTTAGAGACAAATACACTTTTCATTGAAACTATGTTAAAAAAAAAAATTGTTTGAGAGGGGAATCTATCAAACTACTGTCTATAATGTTATTTTTGCAGCTTCACAAGTGCAAACCAGCCAAACTGCTCACATTTTTATCATTAACTCAAGGAAGCCATGCATGTACCTGGTTAATCATTCAATGTCATCTTATACAGGAGCCTATTATCATGTCTGGTGTCTTGTTAAGTTCAAAGTTCAACTCTAGCCCTCTGTTGTGAAACAGGGTCTCTTGCATTTCAGCTGAAAGAGGATCATGCAAAGCCCTTTTACCTTTTCACGTCTGAGTCCCAGACAGAGGCAGTTATGAGTGATCACATGCATGAAAATACACACTGACACAGAGGCCACATGCAGCAGTGGATTATGTTGCAAACACTGTTTTATTAGTACATACACACTGGAAGTGTTGTAAGTAGCAGGTTTGAACTTTACACTTCTGCAGGATCATGCAGGAAAGGAATTTAAAAGCACTTAGTAATATTCTCGACAAGCTGTAGACCAGATTCAAGATTTGACTAGAAAGGAATTTTATAATCCTGATCCAAGTTGTTGCAATAAGATGTGTCGCTTTAAGTGGCTTTATGTCTGGGGGATTTAAGTTTGTTGAATTAGCAGTCAGTCAAAAAAGTTACCTGCCATCTTTAACCTTTATAAAAAAGGTTAAAGTTCACAATTAATATGCATGAATTATTTGGAAAGCATTTGCTAATGCATTACAGTGACATAAAAAATGTTATGTCTGAATATTGAGCTGTAGAGACATAGTTTGGTGATAGTGTAAATCTACACTACAATGAAAAGCACATCGTGTTGGGACTAGTATTCAAACACTGCATATTGTTTGACTTTTGTAAGGTGATGTTATTGGTCAAAACTCAGCTCAGTATTTGCTCCACCACCTGGTGAACATGCATACCATTTATTTGTCAGCTCTGGGCTACTTGTTTCAAAGATTTCAGCCTCTGCACATGGAGTCCAAAACTGATGTGTGCCATTTAGGTCAGAAGTCAGATTACAAAGCTGGGAATGACGTCACGTTTGAGTTCACTGTGTTCCAGATACAAACCAAAGTGTTATTCAGCCATTAGCTCCGATTGTTGTTAGCCTTGCTCAGGTACTACCAGGTGATAACTTCAGGTCATGGCCTATTATATCTTAAACTGATTGACAAAGCCCATCGAATGATAAAAATACTGTCATTTTTACAGTTCTGTATTATTTGTTTGTATGGTAGGAAAGTAAAACCTTTTTTTTTTCATTCTTTCTTCATCTGGCCCAATGGCGTGCCATAATGGAGCATTTGCAGAAAGCTTGTGCCAGTTTCAGCCCCTAAGTGAAGTAAATCTAAGTATAGTGTATAGTTAGCATAAAGGCTAATATAAGCTTCACTAGCTCAACAAACAGAGAAAACCATTTGTTGTCCCTCACAAATATAAAGTTAGTTATACAGACTTCCTCAGTTAACATCCTCAGTTTGTTTCAGATACACTCTCATATTTCTATCAGATACATGTAAATATCCAGCCAACCTACATTTCATCCATCTACTGAGTGTATGGATTCGCCAGCCTGCTCCTGTTAAGCCCACCCCCCAAAAGTCATAATGTTCATTAACACCAAAAGGGTCCAACATATATCTATTGCCTCTGTATGGTGGTCTGTTATGATAACTTGACCCCCCCACCCCGGTTAAGGTTAGGGTTAGGGTTAAAACTACAACCCCCCTTAACTTTGCAGTTTTGTTTTGGTAATAATTCATCTCTTAAAAGGCACCTGTGAAAAGTGGTACATATTGTCCACAACTTTAATTTGCAGAATCTTTCTTCTCAGATGGGAAAGAAGCACCTAAACTGAAATCCACAGGCAGGTTTTGGATGTGGAGAAGGTCTTTGTTAGCTGAAAAACAAAACAAAGTGTTCACTATCTTTTGAACTTTGCCCTTTTAAACCCTCAGCCACAAAAGTGATCAAACCAACCCCTGACTGCCGGTGAGACAAGACAGTTTCCATTGGTTAGGAGAGTCCCACACCCCCGTCCCTTCCCCCTATCTAAGTTCTAGAGTCCACTTTTTAACTCCTGGACTGCGCTCACCTATCTCACTTTATCAGTCACTTGGTCCCAGTCCCACACCTGACAGCAAAATGTCTGACAGAGGAGGCTTCGACACCAACGTGCAGACCCTCACCAGGTTTGTCCTGGAGGAGGGGAGGAGGGCCCACGGCACAGGGGAGCTCACCAACCTGCTCAACTCCATCTGCACGGCTGTCAAAGCCATCTCGACCGCTGTCAGGAAGGCTGGGATCGCTAACCTGTGAGTAAATTCACCTTTTCGGATTTTATGTAACGTTTAGAGTATAAGAAGATAAAATATGCATCTGTGGAAGGTAAAACTAGTTTGCATCCTGATAAACACCAACAAACAGCTAGATTATCACTGTTTATCACTTAAAACTCAAAGTTTGCAAGATTCAAAACCACCTCTGTTACAGCACATTACCCAGTCATAAATATTGATTCTGAAAAGAACAATGTAAGATCAGTAAGTCATCTACATTTCACAGTGAAGCAGTTTCTACTTATTGGCCCTGGTCAAAGGTAAACTCCGTGCATGTAGTGTACATTCAGCCAGGGCAAAGGTCAAGAAGATAATGGGATTTTCAGACTTTCCGTACTTGCAGAACATCTAAACAAAAATTAACTGACATCCTGTGCAAAAGTAATTTTAAAGAGGCTGTATTGCAGTTTTTTTTTTTTAAAATCCTGATGCATTTCACGTAGTTTCAATCAAGCGTGTGCCTCTCTTCTTAACCTTGAAGCTATGGCATCGCCGGAAGCACCAACGTGACAGGAGACCAGGTGAAGAAGCTGGATGTCCTGTCAAACGACCTGGTCATCAACATGATCAAGTCCTCCTTCACCTCCTGTGTGCTGGTGTCAGAGGAAGACGAGAAGGCCATCATCGTGGATCCAGATCAGAGGGTAAGCATGAAATGATACAGGGTGATATAGAGTTATCCAGTAAAATACTGTTTGATTCCATATATGACAGTACTACACCATATACAGTGGGTTACAATGCGATACAATATTTTTTTATTTGTATATATGTGACACTGATAAATTCATTTGTTCTCACCTGACAGGGGAAATACATTGTGTGTTTTGATCCACTGGACGGCTCTTCAAACATCGACTGTCTCGTCTCCATTGGAACAATTTTCGCCATCTACAAAAAGGTCACCAACCACTGTGTTTCAATGATTTTGTATGATTCCCGTTTCCTTATGCACCATGACTTTATCTATTGATATTTTTTTCTAGACCTTCACCATTCAGATGTTTTTTTAAGATTGTGGTCTAGTTTTGTAACGATACGTATTCTCAGATCCAGAACTTAACTTAGAGTTAAACTACTTTTCACTCTAGTACATCTTCAGCAGATTACCAGCATATATTACAGATTTCAGTTATGACTGGTGTTGCTTTACCTACCGCAGAATGCTATAGTCGTTTTCTGAGTGTCAGTGAGTAAAGCGTCACATACCAGAGGACTTTTTATTCTAATATGATCTCAAGACCTCCTGGAAGATGAAAGAGAGCTTGACAATGATCTGAGAAAAAAAAGGGACTTACAGTTACACTTTAGGTAACAGATTTTCCAGGTCTGAGGAACCTGAATCCATTGAAAAAGGATCATATGCTTGCAAAGTCCCTCTGGGTCATGGGTTCCCCTGTAAACCCTTGCAGTGTGCCTGTTTCGTGTTTTTCATGACATTTATTTGTGTATGACTCTGCTCCATAGACAACTGATGATGAGCCAGTTGAGGCTGACGCCTTGCAGCCTGGCAGAAACATCGTCGCAGCTGGTTATGCTCTGTACGGCAGCGCCACCATGATGGTCCTCTCCACCGGTCAGGGAGTCAACTGCTTCATGCTCGACCCTGTAAGACTTCATTTTAACTGCGGCACCATTATTCAACAATATAACACACAAGATATTGTAGTTTTGGTTCTGTCAGTTTGCATTTCTATAGCTGTGGTTTCTTTTTAGGCAATCGGTGAGTTCATCTTGGTAGATCGAGATGTGAAGATCAAGAAAAAGGGAAAAATCTACAGTTTGAATGAAGGATACGCACAGCATTTTTACCCAGATGTGACAGAATACCTGCAGAAGAAGAAATACCCAGAGGTGAGGAGTCTACAGTAGGAGTCTACATGTGTGCGATCGATCTGTGGTATAAATAACTGAGTACAACTTGTTTTGAGTCATATATACAACATAATGGTTTTTGTGTTTCTAGGATGGTTCTGCACCATATGGCAGCAGATACGTTGGCTCAATGGTGGCTGATGTTCACCGGACTTTGGTGTATGGAGGAATCTTTTTATATCCCGCTAATGTCAAAAGTCCGAAGGGCAAGGTGAGAGCAATGGGGGGGGGGGTTAGGGTTAAACAATGTGTTTTTAAACAATCATGCCAAGTTAAAGTAAAAACAAAAAAAGCACTTTTCATCATTTCTGTGGACATTCCTTTAAAATCACGCCTGTTTCTGCATCTTTTTCCCAGCTGAGGCTCCTGTACGAGTGTAACCCCATGGCCTTCATCATGGAGCAGGCAGGAGGAATGGCCACGACAGGGTCTATGAATGTTCTGGACATCCAGCCGACCTCCATCCATCAAAGAGTCCCTGTGGTCCTGGGATCTCCTGACGATGTGAAGGAGTACCTGGAAATCTGTAAGAAGCATAACAAATGAGGTAAAACAAACTTCATTATTCATCAGAGTCATTCGTAAATCGGGATTTAAAAAGTCTGTGGTTATGAAAAACGTGATCTTGTCTTTTTCAGCCTCTTTGACTTCAGCGGGACATGTCTAGTGCTGGTGGAAAATCAAAGGGCTCAATCAGGACCTTCATGGTTGAGTGTAAAGGCACCATGCACTTTACTGGGCCTGCAGAGTCTGCCTCACACTATGCCTAAACCATCTTGGTGCTGTAAGTGTTATTTGTTCAGCCAAACTTTGTATTTTTTAAATAAACCCTTGTGAAAAAAAAAAATCTCTTGTTTTTCAATGAGTTGCCTGAAGAGAATTGATGAGTTGGGGTCTTTTGTACAGTCACACAGTATCTCCAATTGGACAGGAACCAGCTGATGTTGGAAAAATAATGAAAGTTAAATGCATCCTCCACATCCACATCCAAAATCCACGTTACAATCTGAAACGAATATCATTTGTTGTTTTATTTTGCCATCCAGATAAACTTATTTCAACTTCTTCTACGGCTCTATCAGAATGTGAATCCAGCCTCTCTCATTTGACACAAGTATATATGAACAAACTCTCCTGCCCTTTTTTTCCTATTATGCTTCATTCAGACATGATGGGATTTTCTTATTTCAGTGCAGATGTCTCGGAAGAAGTAAAAAGACATCATTCTTTTATGAAACTTTCAGATTACCAAACTGTAAAAAAAGATTGAGTAACTATGACGACGACCTATCATGCCAGACAGATTTTCTTAACCTTTCGCTGTTTTCAGTGTGTCTGGTACCTTATGACTCCATGATTAAAAACAACTTATTCAGCTTGTTCACATAATACTGAGGTTACGTTAAAGGACTGATATTAGAGGGTGACCACATTCTGAATCCCCAAAGAGTTGACTCTACTACGTGGGGCGGAGTTGCACGTAGTAAATTTTGAGGGTTTTTCAGGTCGGGTCGAGTGTTTTTTACAAGCTTCTAACTCAGTTAGTCCGTGCTACACAAACTCTAAACTTCAATACAAAACCCTGGACAAGGCCGAACAGCCCCCTAAAAAGAGGACATGTCCGAGTAAAAGAGGACCCTAGATATTATCGTGTCTACAATGTAAATATGAGCGTGATAACATTAGCCAGTCGGCTAAGCTTAGCATATTTGCTGTATATGAGACATGCCTGAGGTGAATTGCTATATTAATGACTGTATTTATATTATATGGACTCTATACACTTTTATTTATGTGACTGTTGAGAAGAGAAGCCCTGACTGGGTTACTCTTGTTCCTTATAACCACACTGAACTCTCATTAGCAAGCTAGCTAGCTAGGCAAGAAAGTAAGTAAGAATATTCCTTAATGAAATGATGTAGGGTGACCATACGTCCTCTTTTACCCAGACACGTTCTCTTTTTGGTGGGCTGTCTGGCCTTGTCCGGCCTTATCTGGGGAGTTTATGAAGTCCTTCAAATGTCCAGGGTTTTGTTTGGAAGTTTTGAAAATGTGTAGCCTGGGCTATGAGTTAGAGGCGCGTAAAAGACACTTGAACCGACCCAAAAAACCCCTCAAAATTTACTACGTGCAACTCCATGACTCCGGCTCGAATAGTAGTGTCCTCATTTTGGGGATTCAGAATATGGTCACCCTAAATAATGTTAGCGATTCATTGTCTTTAACACAAGAGGTCATGTAAGAGAGTCTGCTAGGCTATGGTCGTGCAAGAAAGAAAACATATATTTGAAAACAGCCCTGGACTAATCCTAAAACTTAAAGGAACATGTGTGTGATACTAACTTAAGACAAAATGAACTTTATTCCGTCAGAAACTTCCATTTCTTTGAGGCTATGTTTGCTTGTTTGCCACGTATGATTATTCTTTGATTGTGAGCATCAGCAGCCCACCCCGACAGGCCCTGGCAGACTCCAAAATATTTCAGCTTTGCCACAATACTAATGAGCCATAAAAACTAACAGAGAGAGGGAGAGAAACAAAAAAGATCCAACATTATGCTAACACAAAAGCCTCATCCAATCAATCACTTTCCTCGGGTAAGTAGTCATTACAGCTCTAAGGGACAACAATGCCTTCAAAGTCTGCTAACACAGTTTGTTTCTGTCTTTCACAATGCTGGACTGCGGCTCCCTGCAAATGAAGAATAATTCAGATATGAAACTTAATGAAACTTTAATAACATTACGGCACAATAATAGAACATTTGTGTGGATCTCTGGCAGCTGCCATCAGTTGGAAACCTGGCATCTAATCTGAAAAAGCTCCTCTGAGAACATAATGGAATTTTTACTGCCTTTTTTCTGCTGAGCGTTTTCTTGGCAATTTTAAACCTTTTGAATACAGTATGTGAGTCATATGAAAGCTAAATTATATGAATTGATAGCAGATGTTTGATCAGAAATTGAAGGCTCAGTGCTCTTAAAAGAGCCTCTTTGTGTATGAAGGGAATAAAAAATAATTTAAGCAGCTACAGTGTGCTGGACGGGATCCATATTGTCTGGTTTTCAATAAAAACTCAACCACTTCCTTTGTTTTATATGTGTTTTGTTAGTGTCAGCATTCAGGGGGCCTCAGAGCCCATGAGACACACAAACACTCACACGTTACAGACACACTTGTTTATTTCCATCGTGTTCAGACTGTGTATGATTATAGGTTACTGAGTCAATATTTAGATTTTGCAGGAAAAGCAAAACCCGGCCTGCGTCCCTTTGCTACTGTGTGTGGTGTATGGAGTATGTATGGGTGTGCTCATGTGTGAAAATGAGGTGACTTATTCAAGTCTGAAAAATAAATGGATTAATATAACAGCACGGTGAAAAAGTTTTCAAAATAAATGGAAAACTTTTAGGATTACTGACTCACTATGTCACTGTCTGACTATTAAAGGCACTATAGGGAGTTTTTTTTTTAGATCGATTTTAGACTGACTATCATGGTGCTTTATTTAGTCTTAAACTAAACAGGTCAGTACCTGTTGTTTACAACTTTAAGCCTTTAACTGTCCCAGCCCATGGCCAGACGAGCTCTGTTTACTCTACGTGCAAATAAATCCTAATGGAGGTGGATCTGTCAGCGCATCCAACCTCACAGCTAAACCCTTCCCCCCTTCCCTGACCCTTTAAGTCATTTTGTTGAAAGATAAAAGTACATCATGAAGTCAGTGGATCTGAAGGCTTGAGATCAACCTTAAAATGCTCAAGAGTTGGGTGTTTTCCGTAATATTTAACCAATTTTTGGATAAAACTGTTGCCCCCCTCCTACCAGGATGCACTTTATCTGCTTTAAAGATTCCCTAACTTTTCTTCCAGCAGCATCATTAGAGAAAATATTCAAATTGACATTTTAGCTTGAGTTACAGTCAATGTTTTCCACATTAGGGCCTTGCATGAGTTTCTTCTTGGACTCCCTGTTCAAATATTTTTGAAGGAAATGTTTCCAGCTTGGTCAGCAATTCTTGTCAATAGCAGAGTTAGCTTTCTACAGCAGATTTAAGTTGTTTAGGTTGTTTTCTATGCCTCAACTGTAGCCGGACGATGGTGGTCGCCATATTGAAAATGTTGACTCAGTACCACTTTTAGTAGACCGAGCAAGAGGCAAAGTGGCAGAGTTGTTGGGCCTTTTGCCTCCTGGTTAATGACCAGTCAGTCAAGTCAGACACAGACTTAGTTGTTGCTTTAAACATGTTGATTTCTGCTGGAAAAATACACAATAGTTTGATAATAAGGTCTCCTTGACTTCTGAAGGCTGCCTCCAGTGGACACATGAGAAACTGCAGTTATAAGGACTTCCATATTGGCTTCAATATTCAATATTGGTATTTTCTACTTGGTGGTCCTCACTTGGCCACAAGTCGTACAAAGTCTTTTCTGTTTTTAAGCATCTCTATTTATTCCTTTATATTATTTCATTTTTTTTCACAAAGAGGCAGACAATTTAGGAAAAGCATGCAACATGGTTTCTAGCTAGCTGGACATCAATAAAGGTCACTAAAGCTCAACTTCTGCGATACAATGAAAGGTATTTTTTTTAGCAAATAAAACTCTGTAGAAAAGGGCTGGAATTTATGTATGTATTTATACACATAAGTTAGGGAACTGTATTCAATTAAAGCTTGAAATAGTTGTCTCTCATCCCACCTTTTCTACTCAATGCACAGCCCAAAATGTGACCATAAAAGACAGCTGCCTGTGTATCTGCAGGACACAGAAGCTCATAAGAAAAAGATGAAAACTATCTGTTATCTTTATGTCTATTCAGCCAATGACGTCCATTATAAACAGGATTATCTCTAACAGGTTGTGTACCATTAAACAGTTCAATAAACTCCGTCATCAGACTCCATGTTCAGCCCACCATCTCATCTCTTGTTTAACTGATCGGCATGGCTTTTCTCAGAATGGTGACAGTAGGCAGACTCAGAGGGCCTGTGTTTAAATTCAACATAAACTCTGAATCCAAGACCACCCTGAAAGTGAGCTAAATTCTAAACCAAATACTGACTCAACATTTGTGGAAGGGACCCATATTTGTACGTGACACTCAAGAGTCAAACCCCGGCCGCATGAGATGCTCTTATTTTGGAGGTAACACTGAAAACAGAGGTTTCCTTGGTAGTTTCCCATTACAAGACCGCATTTCACGCCATAAATTCTTGAAATCAAGCTGACATCTGAGTGACTTTGGTACAGGATGGAAACCTCTCCTCCGTTTCTCTTGTTACACTGTCAGTTTTGTGTCGTTACTTAGACAGAAACCTGAACCGATGTGGGTGTATTGATGCCAAGTTGGATCCAAGAAATTTTTATTGCAGTGTAAGGGCAAAAGAGACCAATGTTTACTTCAAAGTTACGTTACCAGGCAACATTAATGCTTGCAATGCACTTCTTCGACCGTTTCTCAAGTTTACCTCTGATAGAACTTTTTATTAAATGCCCCTCTGCTCATATGATGTCTGTTTTCCTGACGGCTGCTTCGTTTAAAGTGTCTGCCTCGGCAAAAAAGCTGCCAAATCGACAGAATAAAATAAATCTCAGCGCATATGACTCTGCAAAAGGGTTTAATCTTTATTCACAGTGGTTCAAGTACAGTAGTAACCTTGTGTTTTGTGGTATTTGTCTATGGAAGTGGGAAATAGTCCTGTCAGATCATCGTTATTTATTTTATGGTGTCATGGATGGGGACAGTCTGAGCAGACCACCGCTGCTGCAGCGCCTTACAGAGGGTGGTGTGTTTAGATAAAAGGCATGTATGTGGTTGCCGACACTGAGGACAGCTCTGACCTC